GCAAATGTGTCCTCACACAACCTCCTCACTTCCTCACTGTGCCCAAATGGCACTGATGGGCAGCTCGCCACTGCTCAGGCAACCACTTTCCCTTGTGTGATTGATTTGTTTATAGCCCTGGACGAGAAAACAAAGTCACTATAGTATTTATTTACATGAAGAAAAGAAATTAATTCAGTTTGCAAAGAAGGTATTTGGGAGTCACATGCATCTTCTGCACCAGGACAGCTTGCTGTACTACCAGGCTCTGCCTGGTGGTTTGTTCCTTCTGGGATTTTTTAAACATTTACATAGTTTGTGGGGGGGCCGAGATTCAGGTTTCAGATAAATTTTTCAAGACCTTGCAGACATTTAGAACTGAAAACTGCTTTCAGACACAAAGCTCTGTCTCACAGTGAGTAGTTAAAGAGAGCATTTCCTTGTTCTGGGACTGAAAATCAAAGGGCTCTGTCATGTCCTCCCTTTTCCCCCCCTCTCACTTTCTATACTTCCTATGAGTTAAGATTCTCTTGCCCAGGAATACTCGAACCACAGACCCCACAACAGCAAAGGGTGGGAGAAGACTTGCTGCAGACAGGCTGTGAGCGAAGCACTGCTGGCACTCAATGAGAACCTGCTGACAAAGCACTGGGTTTCCAATAGCAGCTGCTGGTGAGGCAAAAGCATCCACAGAGCAAGCCCAGAGATCAGGTCATAGCCTGGGCTCTGCTGTGCTCTCAGCCCTGGCAGTCTCTGGCTGCACGAGAATATCCCATAGATAGCCTGAAGCTAGCCCCCACCTGGCTATCACTAAGCACATCCATGCAGAAGCCAAAACAAAAACAAACCTCTTCTAAAAGCCTTCACAGGAGCACAGGAAGCAATGTTTGCATTGTAGCTCCCTGAGCTTCCTGGGATAGCCACTAAAAGCCACTGCAAATACAGTTCTCAGCATCTTTGCTCACAACCTAATGCAGGACTCATTCAAAATACAACAAACCTGTTCTGGAGGAAATTATGCTTCTGGAGTCCAAGTCAAGCTTCTTTACTAGGGTATCAGGGTCAATTTTCAGCCCAGAAAATACACCAGAAGATGAGAAGTCCCAGTCCTTATGCAGAAGAAACAAAGCAGGAATCAGTACATACACCACCAGGCAACACACATTCAAAAAAATTTAAAAAATTAAACCCAGTACCATCCAGATAGGAACAATGGTAGTGAGCAGGTGTCTCTCTTGAGCAAGGAAGGCACCCTACCGTCCTGCTCCCCCTCCCACCTACCCCCCGGCTCTTCCACACAGAAGGAAGTTTCACAAAGTCTCATTTTGGACTGTTCTGTTCCTAAGAGATTCCTGCCTCACTCAAGTGTGTTCACTCCCAGGAGGGCTGCGAGCAGCATCCTTAGGAAAAGACAGATTTGTTAGAGGTACAGAACAATATAGATATGCAACAAATGAGAAGATTAGGGGACTAAAGCCTTAATCAATGGACATTAAGCAGATTCAGTAACTACTAGCAACTCACCAAATCTTCAGCATCATGCTTTAAGCATGCAATGCCTCCCTAAAATCTGCAGTAGCTACTCTGGTTGGATTGGAAACTATTACTTTAGCCAACAGTATCTACCATCACCAATACATAACTTCACAGTGGTATAAACCCAGCTGTATTTGGCACAGGTAGGAGTGTGACAGGTAATTCCTGCCTCCTCACAAGGAAAGCTTATGCACATAAAAAACATTTACTGGTGGTGTGTCCTTGCTGTGAGGGGGGCTAGGTGGAGGCACCTGAACCGTATATTCAAAACACAGCTGGTGAAAACCAGAATATCCTAAATATTTCTGTATAAACAGGTCTTCTCCATCTGCCCCAACCTAAAAACTGAAGAGCGGCACTGCTCCACTCCTTCCCACGCACACCCCCGGCAGCCAGGGCAGACCCACAAGAGCTCGAGTGGGGCCGGGGGGTGCTCGGGGACCGGCCCCTTCCGCAGGGGGAAGGCGGAGAAGCCATTGCGAGGAGGCCCGCCCGCCGCCTCCCCGAGTGTCCCTGCCCCCGGTACCTTCCCGGCCTCCGCGCTCCAT